TACTATTTTAGTTGTTCTATTAAACCGCTTAGGTGCCGAACAAGCAGCAGCTATCGAGCATATAGCTAGCAATACTAGTAGCCTCGTCTATTTAGTATATATCTCTACCGATACTAAGAAGATCGACCTAGGCATGTTTAAGAATATTCTAAAAGGTAAGGTCTAGCACCTCCTGCTTAGTCTAGAATAGGTAGCATCTCCGCAATTCCTTTCGTTACTAAACGAACTAGAGGTCCGCGAGCGTATTAGTCTACTTATTATCGATAAGGCGCACCTAATCTATAACTAGGGCGAGCCTTCTAGTTTCCGTAACGAATACTCGCAGGTCGGTTAAATGCGTAATCGCCTACGTATCGATACTAGTACGCTGTTAATATCGGCTACTATAGATAAAGAGTGCACTAAGTATGCGATAAAGTATGCCGGCATGCGCGATAAAGGCCTTAATCTATACGAGACTAAGATTATCCGTAGTAGTATCGATCGACTAGAGATTACGTATATTATTAAGTTTATTCCGAGAGAGTATTTTACTAACTACGACATGCTATATATAGTAATTAATAATGCGGTCTCCTATCTACTAACTCCTAATAGCGAGGACAAGGATATTAAGAAGGGATCTACTACGCTATAGAATATGCGCAAGTCTCTAGTATTTATTAACGGCTATAAATATATCGCTAATTTCGTCGATATCGCCCGTAGCTAGTTATTATATCTAACTAAGGATAATCCGGATCTAACTAAGAAGTATTAGTATAGCCTAGGCGTAGGTCTAGGTATTAATGTTACCCGTACTATCTCCTTCTATACTGCGAGGGTACTAAAGCTAGACTAGGACGATCGATATAATAAGTATTACAAGCTAGACTCTAATATTCGATATATAGCAGCTACTACCGTAGTAAGCATTAGATTAGATATGCCTAATATCGCGGATATATACTAGTAGAAGTTTAATATTACTCGTAACCTAGGAGACCTTTAGTAGCGACTTAGACGCATTACTCGACGACTAGCGCTTCTAAATTCGTAGGGCTTCTTTAATAAGCTACACTTCTACCGGCCTTAGGCGTTCTTCTTCGTCCTATACTATAGCGGAGACTACATTAAGCGTATGCTAGAAGGCGCTAGTATGCTTTCTATCCTTCTACTAGCGCAGGTATAGGCATAGGCGTAGTCGTAGTCTAGCGGTCGTAGTCGTAGTCGTAGTCGTAGCGGTCGCGGCAGAGGTGCTCGCGGTAGAGGTACTCGTAGTAGAGGCCGTAGCGTATACACTGCCGGACCGAGCAGGTTGCGATAAGAGCTTCCTAGCGAGGATGTCGGCGGTACGAGCGATTAGGATAATGTATATAGTAACGCTAATACCGATACTAGAGATAGTGCCGCTAGTAGCCGTAGGCGAGGAAAATCTAAGGAAAGTAATATATAGAATACGTCTAAGCTAGAGAGCCGTAAGAATATCCCGAAGGTCTTCTTAGATACACTAAACGATTACCTTAAGATTCCTAGTCGCTGCTTTCGCGTAGTAATAAATAAGCACTATAGCGAGTACTTAACCTAGTTTCCGTATCTACTTAGCTAGGCAGATTAGAGAGACTGCTATAACTTCTACAATACAGAACTAATAGCCGATCTACCTGAACTACTAGTTAAGCGTATTAAGCTAGTTAACCTACTAGGCAAGGGTACGAGGCTAAGCTATATACTTAAGCGTATTAAGGAGTAGTGCTTAAAGAAAGTAGATACCCTATATCTACGTAAGAACCGCTTGTTCCGCATACTAGCCGGCATGTATATAAAGGATAGGCTAATGTGGTCTATGTTAGAGGTCTTCCTTCTTGCTCGGTCGTACGAGACCTAGGAGGATTTGAATATCGACAGAGATAGGCTATTATAAGTCGCACTAGAATTAAATAAGTAGCAGCATAAGGATACTAATCTCGACGAGCTGCTTACTACTGTTATTAGTATAGCCGAAGATGTATATACTAATTAGGAGGCCTATAAGGCGGAATAGAAAGCGAAGCAGGAGGCTGCTACGAAGGCTATTAAAGATACTACTACTACTAGACAGGCGGCAGAAGAATAGGGAGCTAAAGGTAGCTTAGCAGATCTACGTCTAGTAACCTATAGGACTCTATAGCAGATAGAGGCCGACTAGCGTAACCTAAATAACTCCTTAAGACGATCTGCCTTCGCGAATACTATACGCTAGTCCGGTATATAGCACGGCTTAGTAGCAAACTTAGTAGCAGACTTAGTAGTAGACTTAGTAGCAGACTTAGCAGACACCTGCTATAGCGGCTCCTTCTAACCCTCCGTCCGATAGCCCTACGGTCTCCGATCCTGCTAGGCCTTCCGATGCACTATCTGCTCGAAAGCGTACGCGCCGTAGTACTTAGCTAGGCCCTAGTCGATCTGCCTCTACTACCGCTAGCTCTGCCGCTCTACTTGTTAAAAAAGAAGACGATATTATAGTAGAGGAGGCGACTAAGCAGTTAATATAGGCTTATGTTAGTCGTCGTAGTAGTCGTAACATTCGCATTCCTGTAGCTACTAAGGGTCTGTATAGCGAGGGCGCTCGTGCGAGAAGCTTAAGTATAGCAAGTAGCCGTAGTAGTAATATCGACGACAATATCCTATTATAGTATCTGCCGAGTAGGTAGTAGATATAGTATAGAGACACGTAGACCGTCGGTAGGTCGGAAATCGCGTGTTTTAGCGTTAATTTAGCGGTTGTTTAGTAGGACTTCGCGGTAGACAGTAGACTAGATAGTAGACCTTTAAGACAGCATATAGTATAGCATATATTTCTCGCGTTTTTAGTACTATTACGCTCTTTGTTATATTCTTTATTAATATCGGTATATAGCTAAAGTTAATAGATGCGTAAGAGGAAATCGCGATCTTAAAGCCGGCCTAATCCCGCTAATCGGATGTTATGCTATAGTAAATCCGAGCCTTAGCGGGCTATCGAGGCTTCCTCTATCTAAATCTCCTTCCTCGAATTTACGATGCTTTCTAAACAACAACACCGCCGCTACAACGCTAGACCGAGTCGATTGAGCGCATTTCTAGCAAATAGCGCTAACAAAAGTGTCTAACACGATAACGACGACCGTAGCCTTAGGTATACCGAAGGCCTCATTTCGAGAAGTCCTATTTCGAGAAGACCGACAAAGCCTAGAAGCTAATACTATACTTATCGTACTATATGCTGGTTAGCAGGCACTACAATATATATAGTAGAATAGAAGCGTAGGGCGATAACATATAACGAGCGCTATAAATAGTATCTCTTCGAGAATCGCCGAAGCGACCTCTTACGTCCTCGCCCTCCTTTGCCTACCTCTCCCTAAAACTAGAGGCCTTGGTTGCTATGCAAGGCAGAGAAAATGAACAATAGCGTTTATAGGGATCTAATATAACTAGCGGTTTAAGGGCCTACTAGGAGCATACTATAAGAAGTACACTAGAAGCATATATTGCCTATAAGCTTGCTCTCTCGCTAGCTATTAACGCATTCTATTACTAACTACAATACCGAAGTGTATATAGAACAGGCATTATTAAGCGTATAATACTAGCGAACTTAAAGAGTTAGAAACTAGGTACCGACTAAAGCTACCTAGAGAATAATAGTCGAACCGCGCCTAAATATTAAAAAGACTGTTAAAAGATATACCCCTAGAACAACTCTTTCTTGCGTACTATAGGTATATAATAGTCTTAATGCGCTCGGAGGGAAGGGGGGGTACG